ACATCCTACAGTATTTTTACAGTCTTTATTTTACATTTAAATAAATGTTTATCAAATAAAGTCTAACTTTACAACTAATTGTGGATTTAATTTTGCACCACACCTCACTTTTTCATTTCAAAAGCTATGAAATAAAAACTTAGTGCCTTGTCACACGTTCTGACTTTTCTAGGATGATTTAAGCCTCTGTTCTGGGACCAAAGATGGCTCTGTGGCTGTGATAACATCTGCCTCAACTTCTCCCTCAATAAGAACAATTGAAGGTGAGACTCAGACTTATACTGAATCTGCCCTCAAGGAACTGTACCAGCAGGTCAACAAAATGCCACAGTCTGCCAAGAAGAAGAAACTCATCAGACAGGTAACTTTACTRAGATCAACATGAGGATGAAAATTAAAATGCATACAACTTACTCTCAGAGTTGGTACATGACGAATTGTAACTTTTTTAGTTTGAAAAGCGGCCTGAGCTGACCCCTTCGCCAGCGCCGTTTGTCAGGAGACATTTCCGCTCTCGCTCTTTGGGTGGAATTATCAAGGTTTGTTCATGAAATGAAGAATCCACTTTTGACAAAATATTTATTTTTACTCAAAAGCAGCCAGTAAACTAAAATATATTTTGGTATTGTTTGTTTTAAAGCAAATTTTCTCAAGTAAAACAATAACATGTAAAGTGCGTGTAAGCAGTCTTTATGCAACTTTTACCTCACCTTGTTTATTTTATTTTATTTTATTTTATTTTCACTGTTCGATTTTCTAAACTAGTAATCATCTTTTTTCATATATGTAACAGAGGAAAGCTCCAGGATGCCAAACATTTCCACAGAAAGAAATCACCCAGAGTAAAGCTGTGAGTATTGCATTGTCTCACCTCAAAATTAATGTTTTTTTAGAACAAATAACTAAATAATAACCTGCTTTTGTTGTAAAAAGAATATATCAAATCATTGCTTTTGTTTTGTGAACGCAGCAGGTGCAGTATTTCAATAGTGCTCTTATAAAAAAAACACTTGGATTATTTGATTAAAGTGACAATACAAAGATGATCGTTTCATTTTTATTTACTTTCTTTGCCTGTRCTTATGTCTGCATATTTTTTCTGCATCACTTCCACTTTTTTTCACTCTCTTCTAGGACTGATTGCCTTCCAAACATGGTGCTTCTCAAAACCTGGAAATCAAGTTTTTCCTTATCTATAGATGAAAAAAGTATATTTGGGGACTGTGGATAAAAACAAACCATTGTATGAGTTGTACAGTTTGGATTAGAAGCTCCATTTAAATCTGTATAAATCTAAAGGATGTCAATGCAAGTTACAAAGCTAATATGAACACGCCAGCAGTTTGGTGTATTCTGTATTTTTGGGTCAGTTGTGAGGTTTTTTTTACTCAGTTTCTACAGTTCTCATTAATAACTGTTACAAATAGCCTTTAAAAACCTGTGAATTTGGGAAAATTTTAGATTTACTACTGAAGCAAAGTTATTTAGTTAGGCTAATAGTTTTTTTTATTAATTACCTGTATGGTTTAATGAAAAACTGTGATGTGCAGAGTATGAATTTCCCCCCGTCATTTAATTTTTTTAACTTATAGTGAGACCTAAGCGTAAAATCCAAAAATGTGCCTTAAAGTGAACCTCCTATAAGTTATGGTCCCAACCTGAAGTGTATATACATAGGCTAGGGTCTCACCCCCAAGTAAGTTTCAGAATTTTAATTGGTTTGGTATGTAAGTTTTACAGAAGATACCAGGATTAGCTTGTATAATATGAGCAGTTTACTTTTTTGTTCTTGAAACTACTGTCATTTGTATTTTTATTTATTTTTTAAACGTTTTTGTTGTTTTTTTTTAGGCCAGTTTTTAGTCTTATGCAAATGTGAACATAGCTTTATCTTTTTATTCAGCTAGAGTTTTTGGAAGTTTACAACACTTTATTTCTTGTATTCTGTTATTGTTTGATTGAATTCAAGCTAAATCAGCTGTTTGCCTTTTTCCCCCTCTGGTTCCGTAAATCCAGATGTTAACTGGGAGAATTTTAACCACTATGACGTTTAGGATGACGTTGACATAATACTTTGCAAACCCGTTGCAGTTTACTTAAATGTGACACATGCTGCATAATCTACTGACATAAACAGAAGATAAGTAAAGTAAGTAAAATGCAAACAGTTATATTCTTAAATTGTCTTTTTTTTTAGACAATGTAAAAAAATGTGCTTTGCATTTGATCTTTTTTGTACAAACCTTTTTTCTTTTGCCATCTAAAGTTTTGTCTTGCAATTTTATTTAGAGCCACAAGGTGATGCTCTTCAGTTGAAAATAGTTTGTGAGCGAAACATGAAGTTGTCAAATTCTCTGAATAAAAAAAAGCTTTTTAAAATGCTATTATATGTTTCTGATTTACTTTAATGTCCTCCATGTTTAACAGAGGGTCACAGCATCCTGTAACCAGATAGCAGGCAGCTGTTTAAAACTCTTTGATAGTTATGGTAAAACCTTTAAAAATAAAAAATATACTAAATGCAACAAATACTCTGTAAATCAAATACTGGGGACAAAAATAAATAAAACAGAAAAAAAGACAGTAGTTTGCAGCTCCTAAATATTTATTGTAATTGTAAAGAGTCGGTGAGCAGATAAGACTAAACATGCTTTCTGCTGCAACAGGAATGTCTCTGTCGTTGTGGTGTCATGCTTGGTATTGTAAGTGCATGTTTTAAACATCTGTGGGAATGGTTCTTTTTTTTCCCCCACAAGGTCTCTAACAACTGACGGCTTTAACAATAGCACAAGTTGCACATCTGAACTCCAAACATGTTATATTTAGTGTGCCCTATGCAAAATTATATCTGCCAAATGAGAGGGTCACGCTGAAACAAACGTCACTTCAGCTGTGAGTGTTTGTGGGATTGTGAATTAGTGGGATTTAGCTTTTCTGCAGTAAAACGCTTGAGGTTTTCCAAGTCTGTTCGTGTTATAAAATACCAAAAAGCCATATGTTAAAAAAGAAACCTCGAGTTGGAGCTGTTGGGTTTGCTTGACTTTGATAGCTTTAGGGAAAGTTTTCACCTAACTCAGTTGTAGCTCTTCATTTCCTCATACTTCACCCCTACTGCCTCTGATGTGCGTCCCATCAGTGTATGAATGTTATTGGCACTGATTAGTCTCCACAGTGATTGTACATGTTAGCTTTGTAGAGACCTAATAGAGTGCTGTGTGAATGGGTAAATGAAGACACAGATTATAGTGTAAAGCACTGAGTGTCCTGGATGGATAGAAAAGTGCTATATAAGTACAGTCCATTTACCATTTACCACTGGAGTCTCCTGTTTTGAGATTTCATGTTTTACAAACTCTCTTCCGCCAGACGATTGTAATTGCTGCCCTGTCCCCTCTTCACCTCCCCACCTCACTGCTGTAGGACGAATTCTTGCTGTGTATTTGTGTGCATTCCTGTCTCTGGGAGAGCAGAGGGATGTTACTACCCCCCATTACCACTAAATACCACTGTCTCCTCTTTAATTAAGCCATTCATAGAGGGAAGATTTACACTACGCTGACGTTTTTACTGGAACAGATATTTTTTATTGGTTTGTGTGTTTGTTCACCTGCATGCTCCTGGTCAAACTTGGTCAACCGAGCTCATCAGATTTATATTTCTGCTTGCATTTTTCCTGCTCCTTTTGTTATTGATTGTTTCCTAATAAGCCGGTTACGACGAATGTAACTCTTTGTGCCGATGTGCTCCATAAACAGCCAGTTTTGATTATTTAGAATTACGTGCTAAATGCCATTAAAGCGCTTCAGTGGTTCTCGTGATTGTCATTCCATTGTGGGGTGATACTTTGCATTCAAATTAAAATCTCTTCCAGTCCAGTTAAAAGCTTTATTTTTCTCTCCCCTAAATTTTCACATTATGTGCTTTATTTATTGCAACAAAACAAAATAGCTTTTTAGTAAAAATGGAATGCCGTTTTTACTAAAAAAGGTATTCAGTTTTGCATTTTCTTAAAATACAAATTTGAAAAGGCTGCCAGAAAGCTGTTGGGTTACATCATTCCTCTAAAGGTCAACCTCTTCAAAAAGGTATTTATAATAAGTCAAAAAGACAAAAAAACAAGTAGGTCCTCTGGATGGGTTCTTCTTTAGTGAAACGTTTCGTCTCTCCTCTAAGAGTCTTCTTCAGTCTGATGAGTTTCAGGTGAACTCAGTCTTATAAGCACTGCCTCCACCTGGACAAACAGGTTAGTCACATGCAAAAGAGGGCCATAGCCTAACAATAGGCTTGATTAGCTCTATTGTTCATAAAGGGTCATGTGCCCCATCACCTGACCCATGTCGTGTTATGTGTATGTAGTGAATGCAAGCAGGGCTCGATGTCCCCTTGTTTTTGGCCCTCTTTCCCTCTTTGTGTTGGGTATCATTGGGGACTAACCCATTCATCCATGTGGAGGCAGTGCTTATAAGGCTGAGTTCACCTGAAACTCATCAGAATGAAGAAGTTTCTTGGAGGAGAGATGAAACGTTTCACTAAAGAAGAACCCATCCAGAGAACCTACTTATTTTTTCTTTTTGATTTTTTTTTCTACCTGGATTACTGAGATGCATCAAGACATTTATAATAAGTGATTTGCAGTACATCACATCCTGATTATGCTGCTTATTTTGTACTTTTCTCCTCAGCAGAGTCCTGTTTATAGGCTTTTGAGTCCACTTTTGGGAATGCATCCTGGCAGTAAGAAAGATAAGAGCATATGCTTTGAGCTCTGCTTCCATGACTTCAGATTCTGCAGGAAAACGTAACGTTTTGTCTGTTTTCTTCTTGTTTCCCTGCAGCAGCTTCTCTGTGTGTGTGTACACTTGATAATCACATAAAAAAAAACAACAAAAAAAAACTTGGGTGTTTATTCATTAGCATCRTTTCACCTCCCTTGGATTGAATTGCTGCTATGCCTTGTCTCCTGCAGGTTCTCTCTCTTGTAGACACAAACGCAGCCCCGTCTCCCTGCAGCTTCTCCCTCCGGGCAGAAGCTTTGCAGTGTCACACAGGTTAGGACTCTCTCTGTATAGAGGGAGGGCGGGGGGTCGCCAAGAGGCAAACCTGAGAATAAAGAATGAGTGGGTTTTAGAGAGGGGGGGAGAAAAAATAAATAAAAGGAGTGATATCTGGAGTAGATTTGTATTGTAAGGAGAGTCGGGGGAATGGAAGGAGGATCTCAGGAATGAGAGTGAGTTCAGGCAGGGTTGTGTGTGTGTGCATGTTGGGGGTGTGTGAGGAAGGAGAGGAGGGGTAGGGGTGGAGTCGGGGGCTCTGCTATTTGTAGATCCTTGTGATGGATGACTAGTGTGTGTGTGTGTAAAGGAGAGAGAGAGAGAAAGACTGGCTTTCTTTTTTTTTTGCTCTGTTCCCTCTCTCTTTAGGAGAGCAGAGGAGAAAGTGAGAGGAGGACAGACGTGTGCAGAGCAGAGCGCACCAACTCCACAAAGACAAGACAGGAGAGGAGTTTGGAAGGAGAGCACAAGAAAAAAAAAGCTGTTTTTTATTTTCCTACATCAGCAAACCAGTGGATATCAAAGAAAATTCTTGAAGAACAACAACAAAAAAGGGATTGTTGTGGCTTCACATTTTTCATATTTTTTTCCTCATTATATTCCCCAAGTAGAATTAGACTTGTGTGGTGTTGCAGGACTTTGGGAAGCAGAAGCAGAGGAGGAAAGGTTGCTGTGGTGGTGAACATGGCCATGAAAGACAGCTGCTTTGAGCCAGGAATGGGCAAACTGGCCRGACAGTGGATGTGGGTGGTGATGCTCTCTGCCCTTGTTGTAGGCAAAGCCAGTGCCTGCCCAGCCTTGTGTACCTGCAGCGGCACCACAGTAGACTGCCATGGACTGGGTCTCAAATCCATGCCAAGGAATATTCCCCGCAATACTGAAAGACTGTGAGTGCCACTTACTTTTTTTTGCATCTTTGTGTGTGTAATAGAGAAACTACCACTACTAAGACTCTTTTTCATTGTTTTCCCTCTGGCTGTATTATTGTAGCACACATGACTTTCTTTATAGCAAAACTGRACAATAGCCCTGTGTGTGAAGCTGTGTGTGAGTGTATATGTCAATCAGGCAGCCAGTCACTCACTAACTCCAGTCAGGTATAAATAGGCACAAGTGACAGGAAAGAGCAGATGCTTTCAMATGTGTTCACAAGTCTTGTTTTTGGGCTTTCTTCTTCTTCTTCTGAACAAAACATTTCATCTCATGTTTGCACTACCTTTAAAAGCTTAAATGTGAAGCTTAAAAAGTACATTTTAATAAAAAAACCCTTCTGATTTGTGTTTAAATTCTTTGATCTACAAGGATGTCTCCATCACTCAAGTCCTGTCTAATGTGCGCTGTCTTCATCTCTCGTTACATCTTTTCACTTTTCTCTTCTCCTGAGCCAACGACTGCCCTATCTCTCCCACGTCATGCCTCCGAACGCTCACTTTCACAAATTGTTAAATCATGTAGAAAATTAAGCAAATCTGCTGCTTAAGTGAGTCTTGTACACGGGATCACGTCCTGTAAAAGCAGTAGGAGGATGGGAGAGAGGTGAGGCGGATGCTTTTCTGCAGAGTGGAGTTTCTCTGTCTTTTCTGACATTCCTCTGAAATATTCATCAGGAAATCAGAAGGAGTGCGAGGTAGGGGGAAAGAAAAGATTGTTCTATTTCAGCTTTTAGAATATCAGTCGTGAATAAAACATGTGGTGGGAACGGAACAGAGAAAGCCCGTGTTGGAGGCATAGTGGGAGCTAGCTGCGCATATCATACTTTCCTTTTTTAATTTCCAAGAACATCTTTTTTTCCCCTGCAGATTGCAAAAATGCACATGCTGCTTTAATAGTGAATCGGAGAGGAAACATGGTCATTTTATGGTTTCCTTTCCCACAAATGCCCATTCACACTGGAAATRTCCCCTGCCACTCCACTCAAGAGCATTTTTATGTCAAAAGTTGCTTGAGGGATTGTAGGTCATGTTGAGCTGACAATTTTATCATTGTGGCATCTCTGGGCCTTTTGAGGCATGTCTGGCCCACTCAGGACATTGCATTTTAAACACACTGTGCATAACGGTCATGTGTAATTTATTCCTGGGTCATTGCCTTTCTTCTTTTGACGTGTGTGTTTGGGTCAAGAAAAAAAACAAACGGTCTCTGCCAGGAAGTTGTGTTTTACAATAGAAAYGGTTCTTCTCTACGAGCTGGTTTGCAGGGTGATTCATCAAGGTGATTGTGCAAATCCACACAGGCCGGTTGGCCCCACATGATGCTCCCATGTGCATATCTTGATTTATGTGTGTGTTTGAAAAAAGTGTGTGATCAAGTGAGCAAATTTGTGCAAGCGTCATATGGGTCAAAGATGACTAATGACTGTTTAGAATTGCTCCAGGGCTTATTGGCTTTTGGGTTTAATCTGAAATATTAACAGAACATTTTTTTTTGCATAGAAATGTGACTACATTACTAAACTTACTTGATGCCTGAACTTGTCAAAGTCTGCAAATGCAGAAAAATTAGTGCATGCCTGTTTATTGGACCGTTATTTTTTAATGTTTGTGGGTTTTTTTWAAAGGGATTTTGGGGGGTGGGTTGTTTGTTGGGTGCGCTCTGCTTAGAGGGAACTGAGACAAACAGCAGAATCCCATTTGCACTTGTCAGTGTGGGTTTAGATCAGGTTTGACCCCTGCACTCCTCAGACCGAAGCCTGTAATGAGAATGTGGGCTCCACGTGTTAAAATCACAGCCTGCTGCATATGGGCTACTGAACCCTTTGTCCCTTCTGCATCAATTTTATGTCCAGATCAAGCCTTCTTTTTTCTTGGTTCTTTTTAGTTTTGTTCAAAATCCATGACATTTTTACTTGTACAAACATCAAACTAACCAGTGGCTCATATTTAAATCAGAATCATTGGAATGAAATTGGCAATGCTCATAGACTTTTTTTGGTTGGCCAGGTTTTCACGAAACTCCAAGCAGTTTCTGTAGTTTTGTTTTGTCTTTTTAACAGTTAGTATTTTTTTTTTTAGATGAAATCATTATATTTGTAAATTAGTTGATCTGTAAATAAGGAGGCCCTGTGTATCTYACTAAATGTTAAAGGTGGTATTATGTATATTTTCTAAACCAAAATCAAGTAACTATGTTACCTTTAGTTATTATGGCAAAGCTGCATAYATCAAAAATAAAATAAAATTTATCTTATAATAATAATAATATAAATTTGAGTCTGCATCATCTTTTTAAGAACCTCCTACCGTTTCTGACACCCCCACTTCAGCACACCTTCATAACAATGCTTCGGGGGAAGAGCGCTCTGTTTGGCGAGATCTCGGAGCTCCAGGGAGGAGCTTTGGGTAAATAGGCGGTGCTTTGTACCATCACGTGACTAGGCAGCTCCACATGGAGATTCAAGAATTTCTCAAGCACTCTGGGTATGTTTTTGCTCAAAAAAAGTCAATTTTGCACACTACCGCCTCTTTAAATACTTGTTTATAAAAGTAAAAGTAAAGAACCAATGTTGGGCCAGAAAATGCCTTGTATTGAGATCTAAGGGCATGTTGGAGCTCTTCCAACACAGAAGAAATGAAGGCTGCTCACCACATGCATCTACTCACTTTTGTTTATTCATAAACTTGAGCATATGTCTCCATATGTGCCTGCGTGCAGAGAATAAGTAATGTTAGATGGCAACACATGGGAGCTGGTATTGGTTGAAGATGAGGGTCTTGGTTGCTTTGATAGCTATCGGGGCTGAAGGTGGGAGGTGTGTGTGCTCGTGCCAGGCCTTGCCCGCAGCGTTGCTGGCACCAGCACATAGCAGCTACAACTGACAGCACCTGATCCATAATTTACCCTGACATGGCTGAGCACAGCCTGCCCCACTACCTGCCAGCTTCAGAAAGTGGATTTAAAAAAAAGAAAGAAAAGCTGGGGGAAAAGAAACGAGGTGAGGGTGGAGCCGGATGAGAGGATTCAAAAAGTCGAGGCTCGCTCGGCAACTGAGGCGGTAATCACTGATGAAAGGATTTCTAAACAGAGGGGTGAAAAGTGGTGTAACTCACTTGCAAAGCTTGTACATGAATAAAAAGGATTAAGTTATTTATTCTGGGGTGGGGGGGGGGGGGGGGGGGCAAGACGGGTCTTGCCCTGAGCCAGAATGGATTTTATTCAGGTCATTTTTGCAGCCTCATTCATCCATCCTCATTTCTGATAATCCTGTGAGTATTAGGCATGCCTGGAATGACGATTGTTCAGAGAATGTTTACGCACAGTGAATCATTGTGAAATTACAGGCTTTGGACTCAATTTACTGGCTTTGCCATGCAGCTGTAGAGTTTTAGCTATAGTTTACTATTTTGTGAGCTTTGACTTTTCTTTTGCCTATCAGAGTATTTAGGTGGCCTTTTTAGACCCTGCATTTCTCTAAAGGGCTCTGACATTATTTGTTTTGTTTTGTTTTTCATGTGACCTCAGCACTTTGTCACTATTTTACACTTAACACACATGTACAGTTGGGGTGCTTCTTGTCTAAGCAGAGTGATGGGCGAGCACTAAGCATCAAAGCCAGCTGGTGTGTGTCTACACACACCACAGACTCACTGGTCTGTTTTCCAGATGAGTACAGCTTTTCAATGGATGAGTTTAACTGCGCCCAAGAGACGAAAGGAACGACCCGATCCATAGGATGAGTGTTGCCAAAAGAACACTCCAAAACCAGCATGTGTACTTTTTTTTTTATCATGCTTGACTGGCATGTCGTATGATGTACAGTGATATGCATGATGCATGTTCATATGTGAGCACATGTGTGATTGCTTTTCTTTGCCTTAGAGAAACTATATTTCAGCAGACTATAAAAATCAAATTTGAAGAGTCCACCTTTCATCTATCAGAAGGCCAGCTTTGCTTTCAACTCAACTGACTCGCCAGCTTGAGGCCGGAGGGTGAAGAGAACGGGTGATGGATGTGTGTTAAAATGCACATCAGTGAACACTCGGCTGACACCGTAGATAGGCCGTCGTAATCCACATTTCACACTTGTCAGACACTTTTGCATGAGACAAGTTCAAGTTGGCAGCATTCCAGATGTGCTTCAGACGTGTTTTTTTTTAACTTACCTTGTCAGTGTGAATTATAACTGCTATATAGATAATTAGTCAAAGTCTTAATAAATTTAAAAAATGAAAAATATTTCCTGTTCCTTTAGTCCACAGTTGTCCCAATATTGAATTGTGTTTTCCTGTTTTGGTGTTAATGACTGATTTCATTTGACTTCTGTATCTCATTTCCTTTTTGRTGATTTCTGACAGTTTGGCAGACATCGACTCAAATTTCTACCCACTTGTTTTTAATTTGGTTTGTGCTTTTTTCCCCCAATATATATTGCTTTTAGTTTTCTTTCTTGAATTCTTGATGTCTTCCTTGGTTTACTGTGCTTCCCTTTTACAACCATCCAATTTTGTTTGGTCCAGCTTTTAGACACAGCTGGGAACAACCACCATCTTTTGCAACATTCTGTGATAATTTACCTTGTTGAAGACGTTTCATAATCTCTCCTCCCTCGTTTCAACTGACATCTCTCATGAAGGAGCCATTATTCATGTCAATCTGCTTTGTGCAAACAGTTCCCCAGTAAAAAAAAAAAAAGTGTGCTCACACCTTGAAGACTAATTAGCAAATTATATTTGATGCAGGTGTTTGTTTCAGAACCGTAAATTACAATGATTCTGTTTTTTTCCCCTCAGAATTGAGTGGTCCCCTAATTTTTCCATTGATCTACAAAAGCTGCAACAATTATATTTCTTTCTTTTTTCAGTGATTCCTAATCAGGGTTCCTGCAGATCCTTAAAAAGTCTTAAAAGTCATTGAATTCATCAATCCAAAAATAAGGCCTTAATTTAAC